ATGTAAATTGCAATAAGTAGAAAAATATAGTGACTATCTTTAATTAAACCTTATAGTTGTTTTTATAACAGTATTTATTGATTGTTCATATATAATAATGACTATTTAAGCACCGTTTTTGTCATCCTTTTGTAGTATGAACTTTCACCCTGATAAACTGATAAAGTTGCGTAAAAACAAATATTGGCTAGCTTATTCTCTAATAATTTTTAACGATTTTTTGTTAGACCTTCTATATATAAAAATAACTTACTATTTTTCAAGATCACATCTTTTGTTACATGTTCATTGTGACACCGCATAAAGAGAATTAGAAATAGGTACATAATCTGGGTAAATGTGTGATCAGCAACAAGACTAACAGAATCAATTAAAAACAGTATACGGAACGGAGAGAAGAACCGGTTTGAACCGAAAGTCAGACCCTCGACCGAGTCAAGCCTACCTCGAGATAAGACGATGTCGTGTCTATAGGTTTTGTGCTAATACCTCCAAGCATACATATGTACGTAAATTGACAATGCAATTATCGTGCTTCTTTTACCAAGAACCGATAAAGCTTGCCAAGAAAAAATTTTATATCGAACGAGACATAGTTCAACTTTTAAGAAAAACGAATTAACTTTGGAGATAATCTAGACTTAGAAAAAACAATGTTGATATTAACAATATTTAAACGATCAACAAATGTTTCCACAATCGTTTGATATTATCGACTAAAACTTAAAAATGCTTCAATATTCGTGAACGTTACACTCTAACGATAGTTAGAGTAATTAAAAGATAAATTACTATCTACTCTATCTAACTAGTCTCTACATTAATTTGGATACATTTGGCGAAGCACATAATCCAGTTTTATGAAATGTTTCTAAAAAACAGTAACGATTATTCGAAGATAGATTATGATTTGCATTTTTGTATACGTTTTATGAAATACGTAACTCTATTTTACGAAATGTTCGTTCTACTTTCCTACCTTGAAGTTATCGAGGATTCCAGGGAGACAGTAAACACGTTAGAATTATATCCGTAATTCATGATTTAAAAAAAATATTTTTTGGATTTCGAAGAGGAAAATAAGAAAATGAAAAGAAGTATTACTACCCCCAAAAAAAATTGATATATCGAAGCACTTGATGAAATTCAAGATAGTTCGATCTTGTTGGATATTTTAACGTTGAAACGAGCATCTCAACGAAAGGCGATCGACTGGTTTAGTCATACGGTGGCCAGCTTATTAGGAGGCACCGTCGTCAGTATTTTTTGTTTTCCTACCGTTCCTCCGTCGCTATTGGACGCGTCTACGGCGTGTATGCCGAACGAAATCTCGGAACAGCACGATTCTTATGGAAATGAACTTCGAGCCGACTACCTGCTCCTTACACAGAATATGTCCGAAGTGAGTATATTAATGATTTTTGTAGATATTGCAAATAGATATTTTAGAAAAGATGTTGAAGATTCCAATTAAAATAAAAAAATTTTTCTGAAAAACACAATAAAAATTTCATATATCAGGCAAAGCCCTAATTGAGCGACGTTTATGAATGAAAATAATTATTTTGTTTGTCTTTATATATAAAAATTACGAATTTAATGATTAACAAAAATTTTTAGATACATACATTTGTATAGATCACTTTAGACCCCGTTGGATAGTAAAATTGTCTGAAGGAGTGGCTCAAGATAATCTTCTACGCACGACTACGAACAAAGATTAGCTGTTAATTGTTACCACAGACGACGAAAGCAAGCTCGTCGATGGCCTAACGCGGAATCGTTCGAGCAGAGTCATGCTACTGCCCGAAGATTGTTCGAATAGCAAACAGAATGAAGAAACGTTTGTCTTCTTTGATTGAACGACTGTTGACATGGATGATCGTCGCTTGATTTTTCCAAGCGATGAATGCTTCACGGTTCACAGAGCTGTTCTTCTTTTATGCTTCATTAAATTTATGAATGCTTTTGAGAATAGGAGCCTTCTGTTGAACTAAGAAGTCTGGCTTTGATAAAACTTCTTTGTATTCTAAATAAAATCTCAAATAATTCCAATTTATTTATTTATAATATGTTTATGTATAACACTATATAAAATTAATAAATTTTAATTGTGACAACATATCGTGCAATGTAAACTAAGTATAAGATTAATTAGAAAATTCAGATTAACTTGGAGTACGTTTCTGGAATGACAGAACTGCAATTTTTTTCTTTCATCGAACAGGACATAATATTAAGATTTATGAACCACACGTGATTTGTTCGAGTCGTGAATTACTCTTTCCACATAAAGTACTCGACATTTGAAATAATCATATTTTTAAACAAAATGACTAAAATCAATTAAAACAATAAAAACTTATGATATACGAATAAATCGAAAATATTTATTGGGACGAATAATAAATAATGATCGTTAATAACAAAAGTGAGAAAGAAAAAACTCACGTTTATAGTAGTCAAATTAGTTCGATGTTTGATAATACGATAAATATTACGAACGAATCCATATAAGTGAGAATTTGCACGTTAAAAGAATATACCGTGGTGAAGTTACCCTGACTCATGCTTGCAAGGAGAGCTCGAGTACTCGTACGTAGTAGAAACTGGTCGCGTGTGAGAATTGCGGTAGAACAACGAACACATACTACGAACAGGATGCCACCACGATCATGACTGAACGAACGGGACGAGATTGTCCGTCCCCAACCGGCGGCGGTTGGCCGTTAACCAGTTAAAAACGAGTAGGGATGGAGAAGTATGAGAAAAGCCGAAAACTTACATAGTTCGTCTTAATCTGTTGAAAACCGATAAGTTACGAAGGAACTCGTTTATCTTCAAAGAACTATGTTGAGGAATGATATTTGAAAATGATTATTTGAAAACTTTTAATAAGGTTTGTCATGTGTATTTTAAAGAACGAAACCTTCCTATATTTTTTTTCATCCTAAATTATATAAAAAACTAAAATATTTAATTAATTATTATTACGAATTAATAATAATAAAGAATAATTATTATACTCTCTAAAAAGCTCTTCACTTTTACTAAATTAATTTATAATATACTATTGCGTTTGAGAGTCCCGGAGGCTTTTTACCTTGTCCCTGACCTCGGCAACCTTGAAATCTTCGAAAGTCCTCAATCACCTTTTTGACCTTCTTCGGTCGATGATCGAAGAGTCGTGTTACCGTTAGACAGATCATTCGACGTTTTATACATTTACATTCTAAGCGTTACTGCTTCGAGGTTAGGAAGATTTTTATAGATTCTATACTTATTATTTTACGTGCTGCTTCATAGTATGATACAAATAAACTATTTATCTTATAATCCTATAAAAAATAAGTAATATTCGTGATAGTATAATAATTTTTGATAGAATAGATAATTGACGGTTAAAGGTTAATTGTCGACAAACTTTATATCGTTATAATGATAGAAAATTAATTTGTTTGAATATTTTTTGGAAACTAGATAGAATATTTTTCAATTCACACTCACTGTGTACATTCTTATAAAAATGTACAATATGATAGCCACTTATATGGACACAATAGGCCGTAAATGGGAGCCTATTAAAGAACACGTGTGTACCGTGTAAAAATAACTGTCGGTTATAAATGCATCCGTGCATTTGAATTAAATATATAATTTTCTGAGTCTGTGTTCACAATACACATACATGATTAAACATGTACATCAATAGATATTGCAATTACGAGCTACGGAGTGAGAATAGTGCAAAACATTATGCTATAGTTCTGCGTCCGTAAAGCAGGAACTTCCGTCGAAATGAGAAGTGAATTGAACAACCTTTACGCTTCGTAAATTTCACATTATCTTTCATTGGTTTCGCTCAATTCTCGATCGAGCGAGATATGAGGATATTAAGATTGACGAACCAGTAATAAGAATATTGATTTGAAAAATGTTTAAATCTAAGAAAAGAAATTTTTGAAATAACAAACGTTTTTTTTTTCATTTTTATGTTAAACAAGTTATACAATGAAATATAACAAGTACACAATAAAATCTAAGAGAAAAGGAATTAACATTAATATTATGATTTTTTCATCCACAATAAAGTGGATGAAACACATAAATAAAGTGGATGACCACAGATTATTAACATTTATATTCAATTGAATATTTATGTAAATCAATTTATAGGCTTTGAATGTAGTTAAATTGTGAACAAAATAAAAATAATTAAAAAATATTTTCAATGTTAGGTAATAAAATATAAATTATTTTATAAACTGTATGTTAGTAAGATGTTCACTGTTCGATTCCCAAGTTTAGAATAAGTATACTTCGGAACACGTTTGTTTGTACTTACCACGTAAAGTTAACAGGTCGGCAAATATAAAACTTACATGTATACATACAATTCCACACTTTCCAAAGACGAAAGAAACAGGAGTATTAACCCTATTTATTGCCTTTAATGCATCTTACATTCAAACTGCCGCGAGACCTTTCTCAAAATGGCGGGAATCAGCTAATGCGACGATAGATCGTTGAACCCAGGATAACTACGTCATTCAAATAACATATTTATTTTTCTATTAACGGTAATCATTCGAACACTGTACGAATATCATGCTTTATTAAAAAAATCTAAGAAGTCTAATGTTAAATTTCATTCACGAATTTAACATCGTTTCGATAAATAACAGTAATTTTAACAGTATTGTAAATATTGTAAGTAACTAAAGACAGAAATTATAACATTGGTTTAACTTTGTAGTTATTAAAATGACTAAAAAATATAAAATTTATTAATAAATACCTAACAAGTATATTAGCATGAAAATAATTAAAAATAATGCAAGTTATAGATTAAAGTGTAAGTTATAGATAAAAAAAATTTTTATACGAATGTAATTAAACATTGTTAAAGGGGCACCGGAAATAATTAGTTCGTTCCTGAGAAATCGGTCATTGCGCTGCTGATTTGACTAGTGACCAAGACGGAAGTGACGCGCGTCGCTTCGTTACGTTTACATTCTGTTCTCGACGTCGCGTTCATTGTGGGGAGCCATTACCCTTGTCCGCGCTAAAGCATCGTGCCATATTCCCATTCGCACCCTAAAACTAACAGCATTCTAGTAGTTTTAAGTGAAATATTATGAGAGTGAAGACCGAAATGGACGACGACGAAAAGGGGTAAGTAGAAAATAAAATGTACATAATCGAATGTAATTTCATTGTCGAAAGCCGCGTACCATGACCATAGGGTTTATTGCGTGAGAACTCCATTTGCGCATCGTGGCCAATTCTCTCGATGCTTTTTCAATCGACTATTTTTTTTTTTTTATGAATTTCGAGAAAAATATTTTCTCATGCACGTTACATCAAGATTTTGTTTTCGCGCATCTTTGTTTTAATATACATCGTGTGCTACGACAAAATTTTTCCTGTTTAACTTTTTTCTCTGCTTGCATCATGAAGTATAAGCGAGCAAAAAACGAAAGTCCCTTGGCTATCACACCTCGAGGTCGTTTTATTAACGTCAGCACATATGCCGTTCGTTTTCTCTGACCGGCTTCGTCCAGTACACCAAATTTCGCTCTTTCGGCAGATCTTTACATGCATATATGCGCGCGTTGATTTTCTCTTCCTCATAATTTTTTTTTTTATACTAACATTTTATGAAATTACACTAACCAGAACATTGACAAGATTGCAGTTTTCATTTTATATGAAATTTTTCTTTCTAATCTTTTATTCTTTTTTATTGCAAATGCATGCACAATTATGTATATCGTTATAAATTTTGTGACCAGTTTTTTATTTTTGCAGAAAATATGAATTTGTTAATATATTCGTTCGCAATTATATTTATTCTTGTTTTATAATATTCATTCTTATATCATTGTAAAATAATTTATTTAGTTAAGCTTTCATCATCAAGAACAATATTTCATAAATGATAGTACAGAAATGGTTACTTTTTATTATCACTACAAGAGTTTTATAATGTTTGTGTTTTTTGTTTAGAAAACTCTTTGTTGGAGGATTGTCTTGGGAGACAACGCAAGAAAATCTGCAACGTTACTTCGGTCGTTATGGCGAAGTAATTGATTGTGTTGTTATGAAAAATAGTGAATCTGGACGTAGTCGTGGATTTGGATTCGTTACATTTAGCGATCCTGCTAATGTTCCTTTGGTTCTTCAAAATGGACCACATCAACTTGATGGACGTACAGTGAGTAATTTAATAATTATTTTATATAAATATTATGAAGGATTAGTTAAAATAATGTCAAATCTTGTCAAAAATTGTAGAATATGCATATTTAACAAAAGAAGTCAATATCACTAAATTTTTTATAAAATATATGATTGGTATAGATTGATCCAAAGCCATGTAATCCACGTACCCTACAAAAACCAAAACGCAGTGGTGGTTTTCCAAAAGTTTTTCTTGGCGGCCTTCCAAGTAATGTGACAGAAACTGATTTAAGGTCCTTCTTTACTCGATTTGGGAAGGTTATGGAAGTTGTCATTATGTATGATCAAGAAAAAAAGAAATCGAGAGGTTAGTATACTTTCAATTTTCAGAGATTATTTTTTCTGAACAAGCACTGGTTTTCACGATTTTCATTAAGTTAATTCTTTTATATTTTTGTTCAGCTTCTCCTGGAGTTTTTCATTAAGTTATTATTCATATTTTTATATCTTTATTATTTAATTTATAGTTGAGTGATGTGATGATATAAACTTTATGAAAAGTGCATTAGCCAATGCTTGAGTATATTAAAACATATTAAAAATAATTTATATATTTTTACTCATAGTCAGAATTCTTGAGAAATAATTAGTAATATATTTGTCTATAAAATAAATCTATAATATCAGAAAAAATAAATTTTATATTTTTGCTTAATGATCATAGAGGAAATATATTTTGAAACGATATTAAATATATATTTTTTAATAATCAAATTAAACTTCATTGGATCAAAAATTCTGACTTGAATGCAGCACACCTATTATTATCATTGGTAAATTTATAGGTAGTGTACTTAACAGGACAAAATTTAATTATAATACATCCTCTGTATGCAAGTGGATGATGTATCTTTATTTTAAAACAAATTTTTTAATTTAAAATTTTCTAATTAAATATTTTTCATATAATTTGCATATTTCTTATGAACTACTTTAAGATTATTGGTATTAGAAACTGTCTAACACATAGTCATAATTATTGTTACATATTATTTAATGTAGCAAGTCCATGCCAATTTATATCATATTTTTACAAAATGTTATCATATTACAATGTTTTAAATTAAATTAACCTACACACATATATTTTGCTCAGTATGAGTTAGTAAGCGTAGCTTAAGGCTTTGTCAGGCTGTGCTACTGTAAGTTAAATATAACTTAAGTTATCTAAGCTGTTGGTAAGATGTTTTGTAAATTTTGTTTTTACTGTAGATACCTTTTTACATATTGCCTATTAAAATAATCATTCATTTAATTATACTTTTTGACTGTAATAGTAATTATGAATACCATCCAAACTATTATGTTTCCTCAACATATTACTAAAATTATTTGCATTATGCATACCTATCATTGTAATACGACCCTCTTCAATTATATGTAACTTTAATATGGTTGATAGATTAAATAATTTTCATAATAATAGATGAATAATGAATAAAGAAATAAAATTTTCCACATCGTAAGAGTGTGTGTATGTGCGTGCGTGCGTGCGTGTGTGTGTGTGTGTGTGTGTGTGTGTGTGTGTGTGTGTACATATTTCTTTTTAACTATTAAAGATATTATTTTTGGTGGCTGCATTCAAGAAGTTGATATAATTTTGAATGAAGCAGAATATATTAATGCACATATAATATATGTATTTATTATGTTGTAGTAATTTTATATAAATTTTTCCTAAGTTACTGTGAGATTATAATTGAGAAAGAATATCTGACTTATTTATTGTATAGTTAAATAGTTTCAACTTCTTTTTATAAAAATATTGAATTACAGATACATAAGTTGGATTAGATACTATTATAGCGTTATTACTTATTTTATCATATATTTTTATTACATTCATATATGACGGGGGGGATAAAAAAAATAAAATTGTATGGCGTAGAAAATTACTTAGTTTTTATATCGTTAATACTCATTCTTTATGCTATTATTTTACTCCCAAACTTAAAAATTTCATATTATGTTTCTAAATTTACATTTATGAATATTTCCTAAAATTGTAAAGATTTTGATATAAGTTATGAAAACATAGCTTCTTTAAATCAGCCATCATGAAATTTTAATACAAATATAAAACTGTGAAATGCACTTCTCATTGTATTTTTTCTTTAATATTAACAAAAAGTATGTTAACAGATTTTTTATTTTGATCTTAAGTACAAGTAAGTCTTGGCCTTGTAATTTTAGAGCATATTTGCATGTTTAAATATAACAAAAGTTTTCACACATGTAGCACAACAAATTCATGTGTTTCTGTTATGAATCAAAATTATTTGCGTATACATCAGTATAATTACATCCTACTTTGCGTTAATAGTAAAGTAAGAACATATATATTAAAAAAAATAGTAATTCAATAATTTTTAAGTAATTGTTTATTTGAATATTTTAATAGAAGAACACAATCATAATGTATATGATGCTCTTAATAATTTACATGTAATAAGTGTTGTACATTATAGCGCATTTTAGAAAGTATTTAAGACTAATACTATTTTTCATAAATATTTCGGGCATTTTTTGATATTCTCTCACATTTGGACGACAGGATTCGGCTTTCTCAGTTTTGAGGATGAAGATGCTGTGGACCGATGCGTAGCGGAGCATTTTGTCAGCTTAAATGGAAAACAGGTACAGATCAACTCAACCAAATATATGTAAATATTAAAAAGAAAAAAAGAAGTAATACACAAAAATGTGATACTTCAATATAATTAAATTAATTATTATAACTGGTGGCTATTGATGAAATAATTGTTAGTATATAATGCGGTCATATGTAACATGCTCTGTAAAGTTATATATACAGCAGTAAGTTATTATTATGCGTAAATTGAAGACTTAGTATATTATATATAGAATAACTTATAGAACAAAGAGAAGTATAAGAAAGTACAGGTTACTACATAGGAAATAAGGGATAAGCAGTATTAAATAATGATGTAGAAAAAAAGATAAAAGAAATAGAATTTAAATATTTAAATACTATTATTACTTTTTTACTTAAATTATTTTCGTATTTAAATAATAGGTTTAGTCTTTCATCACATAAATTTATTTTTATCATATATCATTAAACTATTTGAAAATGTATATAATATAAACTTTGTAATATTAGAACTAATCGAAGTAATATTTATATGTTTTTAAAATTAATATAAAATTTTTATTATCTTCGGACAAATATATGAAAATGAGATCTTGTTGAAATTTTAATGGTAAATAGATAATTTGTTGAAGTTTTGATAGTAAATTGATAATTCATATAGGATTAAGTGAAAATTATTTCAATAATATTCTGTGTAATACTCTTACGTTATTGTTACAATCTTCTCATTATCTTTGTTTAGCTATTATATTATTGTTAATCACTATTACATTATCATTAGTGTATCCTCATACATATATTATATTATTATTCTTTTCCAAATATAAGTAGATTGTAATGTATGTATTGAAAGGAATTATTAGTTTATTTATTAATAATTTATATTTAGAGATCTTAATGTTACAAAGCGTTGTATAAGCTATTCACAATTTATGCAAACTCGGGCAAGACAGTTATATAATTTAAAGTAGATTTATTATAAGTATACAACTTTAAAGCAATATCAGCTATGCTGCAATATTTATGTATATATTATGCAGATACATTAAGTGCAAATTGTATTGCTAGCTCTTGATTAATACCTGTACTCTACTTGTACTTTTATTATTAGCTTAATAGTCATCATTTACTAGTTAATTATTATGATAACGGTTACTTTTTAAGCTGAAATATAAGCAATATCTTTTAATCTTTTCTTGTATAAAATCATGGCTGCATTGCTAATAGATCAATTGTTTTAAAGTTATTATTACGGAAAAAAATATATATATATATGTATATGTATATGTATATGTATATGTATATGTATATGTATATGTATATGTATATGTGTATTTAATATTAACTTATATGTTTATCTCTCTTGTTTCTAGGTTGAAATTAAACGTGCTGAACCACGAGATTCTTCAAGTAAAATGAATGATAGTCATCAAGGTCAATGGGGTCCACCTCAACAAGGTGGGCCGCCAATGGGTATGGCTGGGAATATGGGACCTATGGGTGGTCCGAATGGTCAGATGGGTGGACCTATGATGGGTGGTCCTATGGGACCTCCTGGAAATATGATGCAACAATATCAAGGTTGGGGTACAAGTCCTCAGACTGGTGGATATGCTGGATATAGTACTCAGTATAATACTCAAGGATGGGGTGCACCACCAGGACCACCACAACAACAGCAAATCCCACCACCGCCACCGCATCAATGGGGTAGCAGTTATAATGTCCAGCCTGCAGCAGCAACTCAAGGTTATGGAAGTTATGGTGAGTTAAAGAAGTATTTAATAATTCTTTATATTCTTATTTATATATTTTATTACTATTTACCGATGCGGAAAAATTTTTTCGAAAATCAATGTGCTAAATAAATCTATTCGATATACATAATGGTTTGTTTAATTACTATAGTATTTGATCTTGTGATTATTCAATCAGTAACAAGCGGAATAAATTATGTATGATAGAAGCTATGTTTCAGGGTATATAATCAAATATTTAAGTAATTCTGATAAGTATAGAGGTATGTTGAATTTGTTTGATAATTAATTAGAAAACAATTTTTAAAGTATTTTTAAAGGAAATAGTTGTTATAGAGGTTATTTAATATTCATAATTTTACAAACTCAACTTGCCTACTACTTTAAGATAAATATTTCTGAATATGAAACTAAAATCGTTCATTGATTATTAAGAAATGTCAATTCAATTTTACGAAATATTTTTAATTACAAATGACAAATGAAATGAATGTTACTTTACTGTGCTTTAAGTTTATAAATAATACAATTATAAAAACTCATTTTTTATTTGAAATTATATTAGAATGCTTGATTAATTATGTTCGTTCCAAATGTAGTAACATTAATTTCATTTGTATAATTTTATAAGAATAAGACAATAAAATCATAATTATAAAAGTTAACATAATTTCGATCCTGTCCCTTCCCCTTCCATCCTGCTTGGAGAGGTTAATTTATGAGATAAAAAAGATAAGAAAATGAGCTAACTACCAGACATAGTAGTACAAAATCCTTAATATTTTTTAATGCCCCCTGGAGGTTAAAATAACATTAAAAAAGTAAAATAATTTTGATATTCTCATAAATATATTGCTACAAGTTATGTTAATCCAGACTTCACAAATCTCATTATAAAATAAAGTATATAGTTAAGTTCATTTTTTTATATCAGACAGCTATCTCTTTCTAAAACTAATAAATCTATAGAAACAAATAGTTATTTTACAGTCTTTTCTTATCAATAACTGGTGCAAATTTTTCCCTTTTCCTAAAGTATCCTAATTTAAACCTAATTCCTATGTCTTAATGATTTTCACGTACAGATTATAGATTTAATAAGTATTTACGTTGATTTGCAATAAAGTCTCAACAAAACCAAATACGTAAATGTTATGACGAGTTGAATTTTTTGTGATTATTGAATTATCCGTTATTTAAGTTATTTATTTAATAACTATTTGTAAATTACTAAGTGTGGATTGACATAACATCGTTTTAAAATATCTAAACTTCCGATATATTGAACCTCATAATCTTATCTACAAAATTATGCTTGATTCTCTTTTTTTTCCTACGTTATATTTTTTTAATTCTTTTTTTGTTTAATTTTTTATTTTTGTGAACTTGCGTCTCCCTTCATTATTAATTTCATGGATTAAATAAGATTTTCAGTAAATAATATAGTGTTGTGTTCTTTCTTTTAAAGGTGGGATTAGTCTCTTCAAAATAACAAAATGAAGATTTGAAAGAACAAGAATAAATTTTTCATGCATATTATAGATAATCAGTCGAACATTTTATAGAAAGTCTAAACTTGTAGCGATCAAGAAGTAAAGTTTTTTCTTGAATGAGATGAAAGTTTCGTTATGCATTGTATAACTTTTATAAAAGAAAGTTTTCATTTTAAGAGAATCAAGCATCAACATTTAAAAGAATCTAGAAAATATCATAATAATATTAATGAAGATAGAGATAGATTTTTTTAATAGACATATGAATAAGAAAAGAGATATGAATTACATGTAATTTGAAAAGTAAGAAGGTGAGGTGTGACACGGTGGTCGGTGACACATATTTTGTGTGGTTGATGATCGCAGGTGGGCCGGCGGCGGCCGCTTCAGGGGGCTACGGGCCCACGGCGGGTACTGGCGGGGCTGCGGGGGGCGGGCCCGGGGGTTCTTGGAACTCCTGGAACATGCCACAGAATGGGCCCCCTCCTGGGACCCAGCCACCACCCCAGCCCCCTCAACCCAACTCCTCGCAGCCCAACTCCAACTCGAACCCCTCTGGCCCGCAGGGTGAGTCTTCAAGCTCAGTCAAACAAACTCTCTCCTCTTTCCACCCTTGGCATCAGATGGTTTCATTCTTACCTAATTGAATCTTACTAAAATTATGTAAACCATAACTTTGTGCCAATCCTATATCCTATAAACATCCAAATTTTTACCTCATGAGTCATTTATTTTAAATTACGGATTTTATTTTTCTTTTTTTTTCTTCTTTTTTTTCTGAAACTAATTTTTCACTTTTCGTCGTAAGCTTCCTTTCGTCTCTTCTGAAATATTTAAGCTGTGGTTTGTTAATCAAATGTTGAGTATTGAATGGAATTTACATATATTCTATCCCGTTCGATACCTGTTATTATCCAAATATATGTGTTTCAATGTAGTAGGTCGATTCATTAATTATTATTATCAATGTATCAAATTACGATATAATTCTTATATAAAGTATGAATGAAAAAATCCAAAGTACTTAACTAATTTTCAGTATCATGTTATATCATTTACTCGATAGAAATTTATTAACAATGTATCCAAACATTCTTAAAATTCCTAACGCCCTGCTGTCTATGTAAATTTAATTTAATACGTTTTATTATTTAATAGTTTCAATTTCTTTTTAATTATACATGTTTAAGTTGTCACATGTAGTAGCATGATTCCTGCAAGAACAAAATATAATAAATATATGAAATTGAAAAGAAGTTAATACTTGATATAATAAAAAACAGTAAACCTGCTTCATTATTATAAATCACAAATTATAGTAGCATTATGAATGTATGTGCGCGCGCGCGCGCGCGTGTGTGTAATAATTGCTAGTGTAATGCTGTTGAAAGGATAAATATCAATTCTATTTAAAGCCGTAGTTGTAGAGGCAGGCTTACGTTGTAGGCTTTTTGATTAAAAAACTTTCAAATGCTCAAATTATTACGAAGTCATATTTTTTAACAAAATTATATTTTATTTGTTAATATTTATTTAGTTATAAGTAGTATGAAATAGATGTTCATGTTATTTAAGTCCTATTGTGATGCAGGACAATATTTGTTTTCATAGCAGTTAATGAAAAAGATTAAATTCTTAGCTCATAAAACAATTATATTTCTAATTATGAAATATTATATGCATGCACACAAGACAGGTATTTCAAATATATCTTGATTTTAGTTTTTTGTGTCTTATTATGTGTAAACATTTTATAAAATCGACATATAGATAACAAGAAAGCGATGTCAAAATAATATAACATTATTGCAAGACAAAAATAAATGTATCTAATATTAGATAATATTTACTTGATCAAAAGAATAATCGTATTTGATATCGTTTTCAATTAAGTGGTAAAGAAAGAAAAATTATATTGTTCGTCATTAGATGCACGTTCCCAAAAGATAATCATATAATTTGATATGATATACGGATGTTTCAGGTGATATGTATTCACGACAAACTACCGGCTCAGGTGCACCTGGAACTAGTAGCAGTTCGGCTAAAACACCGGATTACAGTGGCTATTCCGCATATGGTAATTATGCTGATACCACGTATCCTCAACAACGTTCATATACGGGAGGAGAAAGCAACCAAGGTGGGTATGCCGCCAGCGCCCCTAAACCCGGCCAGCAAGGCTTTGATTTCAAAGAGTGGCCCACCTCATGACCATTTTAATTCAACCGTGACGGAGAAATGCGCTGAATGGCTTGGCCTTGCTCGTGGGTTATTTCTTATTTCATATTTGAGGAACAGTATATGTATTTGTTAAAACATCATAACTATACTGCGAGACATTCATTTTCTTTGTGTGCTGTAATATCGAGATTTCATTGATAATTCTTAGAATTTAACGACTGTATATTAGGAAAACATTATTAACATTCAATATGAGGTGTATTATCTTAGTTGTTAATCTATGTAATAGTGCCTATTTAATTAATTTGAGGCTCCTATAATAAGGATGATCTTTTATTTCAAGCATGTTATGCAATCAAAAGTTTTCTGATGTACGATGAAAAGTTAATAGTTAATCTAGAAATGACTTCATCACTGATTGATGGTTTTAACTAAATAATTTGATATTATGTATGTGTATATATATATATATATATATATATATATATATATGTATGTATGTATATATATAATCATATTTCAATTTTGTTCAATTGCACTGGTTCGCAAGAGAAAAAATCATTTACAAGCATAATCAATTTGAATATAAGATTTTTTTGTGCAAGATTGAGCGAAAAGATTTATTTATTATCGTAAATACATACAAACTCGTTTGCTATAACAATAGAACGGTATTAGCACCGTGCAAAGAATGTCTCTCTCGTATCTAGTTTATTTCGCGAGCGATCAGTTATACTACTGTACGGTGTCATCATTATAATGAATACTAGTATTATCTTATAAATTATTTTGAGATATATATATATATATATATATATATATATATATATATATATATCAAAATAATTGACATTTCATAAAGGGAAAATCAAATGAAAATTTGTTATCTAAAGTTAAATAAAAAATAATAGTTTTGATTATATTATTAAAAGTATCAATTAGATGGATCGCTCGCGAAAACAATTTTCTAATTAATTTAATTAAATATATAAGAAAGTACAATGAATTGAAAAGATCATAATACCCATGGTGCAAGAGTATATAATGTATGGCACTGGGATAGGAGAAAGAAAGCGAAATATTAAAGTATACTAAGAATAAATTAGATTGAATGAAATAAGTAAAACCAAACATAAAGAGCGAGTGTAAAGGGAAAAAAAAAAAAAAAAAAAAAAAAAAAAAAAAAAAAAAGAAAAAAGAAAAAAAAAGAACAGACACGCAACAAGAATGATAATTAGTATTGCTTGCCGTGGCATTATACATGGAGATGAATAAGATCTAATTCGGGATCTTCTCAGGGGAAAGCACAAAGTTTGGTACTTATTCATCTCCTTTATGCTGGCGGAAAATTCGGTAACAAATGATAAAGATACTATTTGGTAACATGATAAAGAAGTAATATTATACTATGGTCTTCGACAGAAGGTTAACGAGTGATTTACTCGTGCAACACACCCATCCCTCCACAGTTCTCCTATTTATTAAATAGTTGTTATACTGGATAAATACGAAAATAACGTGTGATTAATTAAATAAGTAAGACGTTCACAGGCTGACTTACCTATTAAAGTACTACAGAGATAGTGTAAAATAAAATAGATGTTTTAATATTATGTATGTGTATCTTTGAACTTTTAATAACAGGATGCAGTCTTTTTAGGCATCCATTTTTTCCACTTTCACGGCATATCACTAGTAGTATCTACGCGAATTTTTTCAGTTCCTCTTTTTCTACTATTTCTTGCTTTCGAATATTTCCTACTGAGTCTAGTCCCCTTCTACTTCCAGTTATTTGAAAAATATCAGTCTGGAAGGAAGAGGGCAGGAATAAAAAAATCATGGATTTTAATAAATTGTATTATAAGAACTTGTTGGTCGTCGGACTGGCTTCTGTTCGGCCAATTTTTTACCAGATATAAACTGGTTTATTTTTTATCTTGTGAATTTATAATAGTTAATTATTAGGCGTGTTTAAGGCTACGTTTACTATTGTTACTATTATTATTACGTCTATATTATTATTACTACTGTGCTACTATTGTTACTATTCTTATCACATTGTTACTATTCTTACCACAATTTACTACTATTGCTGCTGCTGCTACCTATTACTATTACTAATACTATCTACACTATTGTCACCATAACATGTACTATTACCACTGCTAATTAGTATACTAATTACTACTACTGCTACTACTGCTACTACTACTGCTACTACTGCTACTACTGCTACTACTACTACTACTACTGCTACTACTACTACAACTACTACTACTACTGCTACTACTACTACAACTACTACTACTACTACTACTACTACTACTACTGCTACTACTACTACTACTACTACTACTACTACTACTACTACTACTACCACTACTACTACCACTACTACTACTACTACTACTACTACTACTACTACTACTACTACTACTACTACTACTACTACTACTACTACTACTACTACTATTACTACTACTACTACTACTACTACTTCACAATGACTGCTATTTCTATGACTGCTATTTACTACTATTACAGATCTACTGTGACTATTATACTACTATGACTTACTACTACTACTAGTGCTACTATTCTACCATCACTATTGCTATTACAATTATTACTGCATTAACTACATCTGTCTTTATGATAATTACAATTAATATTATAATGATGCTTATGAGCGTTTAAATTTTAGATTATTAGAATGAAATCATGATGTCTAAGGTGGAGGGAGGGTGTATTATAATTGTACGATTATCTCGACGGGGGGCATCGATCTGAAAAGTCTACCTGATTAAATATATGACTTAATTGTATTTACTCTGTAGGATTTACCATAGATCTAAAGAAGGAATATTTCGGAAGAGTGCTCTCCAATGTTCATGTTTAGTATCGGGCGGGTCGCGTTGTCTTTGTCAAGGAAAATTTAAAGTATTACGCTAATGTAGTCAAAGGTTATGATATGATTATTTTTAATTACGCTTATACGATTCAGTAATTTGATTGAACATTTATCACTCAGATGTACGTTGCATTGTTAATCGTGTCATAGCTTATATTTTTCTAATTATCGAGCGCATAATGATAATGATAATAATAATAATAATAATAATAATAATAATAATAATAATAATAATAATAATTATTATAATAAACAATAAATAATAATAATGGTAATAATAATAATGATAATATAAAATTTTCAGGATTTCTTAAATGCGAACTAAGATACTTTGATTTAAGATAAACTTATGCGACGGTGTTTTCCCTTGTTTTTTATAATACACAAATACATGAGTGCAGAACAAGCTCGTGTAGTATAGAACAAAAAAATATTGCATTTATCTTGCTTTGGCAAAGAAATATATAAAATATATTTAACAAAGAAATTCATACTTTCTTGCAAGTTAACGATTTCATTATAAGTTTATTTTCTTTTTTATTTCTTTTTTATTGTGTCTACGAGATTTTGATAATTCTTTGAAATATTACGTAGTAGTGTTATAAAAAAGTGTACCATGTGAATACAGAAGGTGACAAGATAGAAAAAAAGAAAGATTAATTTTTTTTCGATTGGAAGGAACACCAGACGCGACTCGTGTATAACTTCTGGGATCAACGCAATAATACATTTACTGATTTAACAAGTAAAAAGACAAATAGATGAGCGAAAAGCTTAATCAAACAGCAACATCACAGTGTACATATATTACTATGGTAGATGCCAAAAAAATCATAGTACATTCACACGCACACGTAACATATATACACATACACACGATATTCGACTCATACGTACATACACACATACACGAGAGAACATCTAAGATCTACATCTTAAATGCGCAAAAAAGAGAAACAGTTGAACAGGCCACAATTTATGTATCACACTCAAGTAAAAATAAGTTAATAAGAGAATAAATAAACGAAATTTCTATAATCCGCGATTATTCCATACGAGATAACAGGTTACGTAATAGTAAAAAAAAAGAATACTGTGAAAGAGAGTGGCAAATAAATAACAAATAAACTGTTTATCTGTGAATGGCAAAAATGCCGGCTTATTTATAAAATAAATATAATGATGAAATATGAAACAAGAGGAACCACTGGTATCGATTATGATTACAATTATTCAAAATATTACTACTATTACTGTCCTTTTTTATCATGAATTTTTACATAAACTTTAAATATGAAATGATCATCGTCAAACGTATGCAGTATGTTAGGAGAAAATATTATATTCGATAATCATTTAATTTATATAGGAGAAACGTATTAAAAAAAAAAGAGAATATACCAATGCGTTCGTTTGTATTGTTATACACGATATATATATATATATATATATATATATGTATATGTATATATAATTAATTTATTATACATTAACGAGTTTCAAAGAAATGAGATAAATTATATTAAAGGTGACAATTGTAAAATGAAGATAAACAAAGCAAAAAAATTAACAAAGTTATTAATGGCTGCCTTTGTCGTACTATGTGTATGTATATATGTATGTGTACATATATGTGTGTGTGTGTATATATATATATATATATATATATATATATATGTGTGTATGTATGTATATATATATCTATACACACATACTCGTATACACATTTTTAGAGATACGTTGATGGAATAGTTAAACATATGAAACGAAATAATAACCGAAACATAGAAATTGCGTGCACGATGACTAGCGAAAATAATCGTTGATGGCTACTAACTTTAACAGATGATATATTTATATTAAATGCAATATTATTAGTATTTTAAATACACAGAGAGACGACGCATCTAACTAAAGTACTCTAGATAGAATACATAGGGAAAATACTAGCCGTTTTTGCTATTACAGTCCTTGTTCGCGTGGACTATGGTTTCTTCTCAGGGTTGTTATCATTCTTTTTTCTTTCTTTCCTTTCATGTATCGTGTTTCATACGTTTCGTTTTTTTTTTATTTTTTAGCAAATATTCGTTTGCTCGTCAAATTTGTGTCTTCTCCTAAAATATTTTTTTCTGTCTCTTACTTTTTTTTTCTTTTTTCTTTTTTCTTTTTCTTTTCTCTGTTGTATTTTTGGTGCGTTGACATCAGGATAAAATCCCTATTTCACACTCAGTATTCGAAAAGAACTTTGCAAAGTTTCTAACAATCTAACATTCTAATAATAATACCATATCAATGGGAAAGGACTAAACATAGTTATTGTTGTCAAAGGATCGACGCTTTTCCAAATAGAACTGATCTTTTTTGAACTTTTTCTTTTTTGTTTAATTGTAAGTGGAAAAAAGAGCCAAGAAAAAGCTCACAATCTAATCGATTAATCGACGTTTACTTAAAAAATGAAATTACTTCCGATTTGTGCTTAGCGAGATAAAGAAGATCAATTAGATTCAATCATTTTAGATGGAGATAGAGAATGGAGGAGGTTGTAATGAAATTTCAAGTCATTATTTCTTCTAAGTAATTGTATATAAAATATCAGTTTTTATAACTGCTCGATCTTTTTTACTGTTCTTTTTCTTTTTTACGATCAAATTTAATATCGAAGCTTTGCTTTTCTTTTCTTTCACACACACACACACACACACACACATACACACACACAGATGGATAGATATCTCAGTTTTCTTTGCATTTCATAATTTTTCTAAGTAATTGATAATTAAGTATAAAGACGAATTGTATAAAGTCATCTAGTAGTAATGTTACGAACGAGGAATGAAATTAAAAAAAAAATAATATAATGATGCAACTTAGCTCATCTCTCTTTCTCTCATTCTCTTATTTGTTTTGTTTTTCTTTCTTTCTTTTTTTTCTTTTTGACTTAACTAGCTGATAAATAGGAGTATTTGGTATTTAAATAAAAGTTTTCTTGAATATATATAGTAATTCCGGGGGGCGTTAAATATGTCTGTATCTTTACGTTATATTCACAATTGACGCCCCACCCATCGAAGACTGGTCGTAATAAATAAATAAATAAATAAATAAATAAATAATAAACAGTTAAATTCTTAATAACCGTCTTGCAGTATCTCGATAATGTCGTTTAAATTATTATGCATGTGTTGTTGTTCTGTCGCTTTTTTAAAAAATATAAACACTTGTTAACAAGCAGCGATACTATGGCTATGTAGCATTTTAAATATTCTCGTTATCTTTAAACGCTTGCTTGGATGAACACAATTTATTCATTATTATGAATACTTTTTATGGTTAGGTGCATATCTTTATTAAACGGATCTAGAATATTATACATTTTGCGTTTAGTATAGTGAACAGAATATAGGTATTTTCTTTTTTTCGTACTTTTTCGAGCACAAGATATAGATAGTCGTCGTTATGGTCGTCGTATAGTAGTATATAAACGTTGTTTCATACGTTAAAATTTCTTTTTTTAAACGAACCTTAGTAATTATTGTAACTTGATTTAGGGTTTAATATAAATCGGTGTTAATTATATTGTATCTATACAACACACTGCCAGTCAAAGTCTGTTTCTCTAAAATTCTTATTTTGTTTCTTTTTTTAACACAGAAAACATTAATTCTTCTATTTTTTTACTTTTCTTTTAATATTTTTTCTTAAACGAACTTGGTATAGATACATGTATAGAATTGATTAATCATATTATGCTTTTCTTTCGTTGTTTATTTAAAACAAAACAAAATAACAAAAAATTAACAACAACAATAACAAATACAATGAAGAACTGACAAAGCATAGTACTAATTACTCACGTGCATTTGATAAAAGGATCGCCAAAGTTACAAAAGTGTTACCGAAAATGGCGCTAAAATGATAAACGGACAAATTAAAAATCGAGATTGACCGATAATGTAAGACGTAAATATGTGTCATATATACATGAAATATTCTAAATTACGTTTACATAGATGCAATTAAGGAGGTTATATTATAATTATAAAAGTGATTTCTCTGCGAGTCTGATAGAACAATGTAAATTATTATCGTAAAGAGATATAAAGTAAAGAAGAAAAAAAAAATAAATCCTAGAATATTAATGAGTGAGTTTTACATAAGAGAAATTCTAAAATATGTTTACGTTAGGTACACCAAGCTAAGTGTGTGAAAATTATATTGTGTAACTAAATTATATTGTGTAGCTAAACGATTTAGTGACATATTGTGTGCGCCAAAAACAAACATAAAAATAATCAACTCGCGTACAGACGGTACATGAACACCGAGCCACCCAAAGAAAAACACATACATACATGACACAGACGTTGCATACCACGTACACACGTAAACAAAATGCATGCATGCACGCATTTACACACTGTTTTACATGTACTTAAGTAATAAAAAATTCATACAGATTACGATGGGAATAATTAGGGAAGAAAATAAAGAGGGAGGGAAGGAAGGAAGGAATAGCGATTCTTGACAAAGCCGAAAGAAAGTTACATTAGCGAATTGAAATGAGAATTATGGAGTTAAATAAAATCTGAGGATTGGAAGGGAAGGGGAACGATAGGAGACGGGAAAGTGTACATTAATATAAAGTTGTTCGAATACGTATCTAATTGTGTATAAGACAGTGGAAAGGGGAAATGGAGATCTTTGAATTGCAACGTGAGAGCCACTAAAATAAAAATCTTTATTTCAAATAAAAGAAATACGCTATCTTGATTTCGTTCATTGGGTGTGATTGGAAGGTTTTTGATGTAGTGGATGGAATTCCTACAGTTGGAATGCTTTATCTCGCATGAAATAAAAATCTATCGATCTACTTTTATCATGTTTTTTAGTGTGAAGTATAAGATTAATAAACGTAAAGTCGATAATGGTTATAATAATGATAAATGAAATTATTAACTGTAATACATGACCTATATATTTATAACTTCTAGTGTTGTATTGGTAAGATCGTGTGCCCCCCTACGAGCTAAGAAAACAAAACTACAAAAAAGTGAATAGTTGTAGATGGATGATAGATAATGAAAGTCAATGAGTAATAAGTATAGTCGTAATTTTGAAGCGAATGGTAAAGCCCATGGTTTATGTACCATCGTTCGGCCGTGTTTCCCATTCGTTTCAAAGCAATGATACTTTAAAGAAGAAAAAAGAGAAACAAGTCTATACTCGCAACGCTTTCTATTCGCCTTATTCCCAGTGCCCGCTATTTATGGTCTGTCTGTAATTTTAAAAGGAGCCGGGTATTCGACTCTTGTTTTTTTTTATTCCGCTGTTATTTTTCGGCAACACACTATAAGAGAAAATCTAATGAATGAAAAATAGTCGATAGTAACGTAGTTAACAAATGAATGTACGAAGAAAATATGAAAATAGAAAAACAGATCACTTTCTGGTGACAATGAGCAAACTTATGACGATGAGTCGAATACCCTGCAACTGGAGACAGAGAGTATATAGTTCGAGTACAGGCCAGAGCGCATTGTCTCTGTTCTCTATCTATCTCTCATTTTTTGTCTCAAGATAAACACTCTGTAGTGTTGTATAAGAGAGTAGTATAAAGAAACAAAAAGAAGAAACACAATAGTATGGAAAGGATATGTGTAGGAGGTATCGTTTCACGATTTAATGATTATGAGAATTAAAGCAAACAGAAAAAAATGATGGACATGATAAGCAAAAGAAAAAAAATAATAAGAAAAAACCGCTATTTGTCGCGACAACCTTATAACATAATAAGGTTAATATTAATTAACGATCGATTAAGAATGATTATTAAAATCACACACGTACGAGGTATGTTGAGAAGAAGACAGTACACATATTTACATGCTATTCTTAACAATGTATATGTCTATTCATCACAACATATATGTATGTAACACGCAGTTTTAAGCTTGCTCGTGTGAATGTACGTTTCTTAAAGTACATTTTTATGTATATATACATTTACACATATTCGCATACGTACGTACCCATGTACGTATGTATACGTAATTGATACAGCATTAACAATTTTTCTCCTCTTTTTGTTTGTTTTTTTCTCAAGAGATATGTATATTGCATGCACGAATCTATCGTGTACGGATATGTGAATATATACGTATATGTAAACACACGATATACACGTAATAACACTGATCCAATCTCATAAGATCAAACAAAGATAATTTTCATTTTCTTTTTTCTTTTTTTTTCTTTTTTTTTCTTTTTTTTTCTTTTTCTTTTTTTTTTCTTATAAAGAAAACAAGACAGCAAAAAGCATTTCGCAGTGTGGATACATAAACTTTTGATCCTTAAATGAGAGGAGGTGAAAATCGTGAGAATACGAAAAAAAAAAACAAAACTTTTTTTCGTTTGAGAAAAAAGAAAAAAAATAGGATTCAATCAATCGAAACGAGTCATCTACTTATTTTCTTATGGATGAAAAAGAGTAGAAAGTTTGGATGAGAGTCGAGAGAAGAAAGAGGAGGATAAGTGAAAATCTGAAAGCGGACAGAGTAATCGAGAGTACAGTCAGAAAAAGAGAAAAAAATATACATGTAAATCAAAAAAAAAAAAAAAAAAAAAAAAAAGAAAAATTCGATTGCATGCATTTGATGTCATTGTAGCGGTTTTAATTATTCATTTATTCATTGACAACAACATTATTAGTCGATGAACTTTTCCATTTGAAAATTTTGCATAAACGAAAAAAAGTAAGAAGAAAAGATTTCTATTTGATTTTGCCACGAGAATTTCAAGACGCATGTTTTTAGTCATGTTTATATGAGAAACGTACTGTTTAAGTTATTCTATTGTATAAAATAATTAAAGCTACGTTCGGTATAAAGAATAAATAAGTAAATAAGTGTAAAATTGTACAAACGATCATCCGTTAGCAAAGCAGTCAGATTTTAGGATCAAGCGAATGGAAATATGAGTACATATACATATACTTACACGAACCCACAAAGATATACACGCAGATACATAAGTAAATAAATGAATTAAAAGCGCGGATTCGAAATTAATGCAATAGTAAAATATGAAAGAGAATGATTAAAGATAATCCCATTATTATCTATGCGCGAACACATATGTACAGGATGAATCATGTAACGTGATTAAAAATATTGGATTTAAATAAAATTCTCTCATTTATTATTCAAACAGTTTAAAATAACATGAAAAAAGCTACACTTTTATAAATCAATATTTCATCAGTTTTTCAGGGTATTCATGTTACATGAGTTCAATCTACACACACATATCTACGCAATATGCATATATAAGTTCTCCATATTTTTTTTTTTTTTTTTTTTTTTTTTTTTTTTTTTTTTTTTTTTTTTTTTTTTTTTTTAATCACAGATACATAAAAACACGAGAGTATTGTATCAAAGTTAACAAGGGTACTTTACAGTATGTACTTCAAGATAAATCAAAGAGCAGAAACGCTCACTGCTGATTACGTGTTCCATATATACATAGTAATATGTTTAAACGTACTGTACCGATGACTATAAGCGTAACACTTCTCTAGGATTAAAAGAGTGACGATCGTAGAAGCAAGAGAAAAAAAGGAGTATAGAAAACACGTTAAAGTTCTTTTTTTAAAGTTCGTCGTCGAATATACCTCATATACGATAATAAATGATAATCTTTGTGCAAAAATATTTTAGAGTGAGTTTTTATGAGGAAGGAAGGGAGAAAGGAGGAACGATCGATTTTTAATTTTTTAGTTTTATATCCAGAAGTTCCTAATCATCATAACGTAAATAAAATTTACTATGACGAAATACCATCGTGTTAACAAACTACTTTACTTTTTAATCTTCTAATCATGCAGAAAAAAAATAAACAAAATATTTTACGATACGCGTTACTCTGCGTTACGATAGAAACGAGAATAGTTGATTATAGTCATATTTAAAAATCGGAAGAAAACACAACGCGACGAGAAAACGCATTATTAATGAATAAGGAAAAGAAAGAGAGATAAACAGAAATATTCTGAAAAATCGTGCTCATTAATGCTATACTTATACTTACTACATATTTACGATATGTTTCTACCTACGACGATCTCCCTTCCCGTTGTGCGGCTGTGAGTTAATAATACTTCTGGATAATTTAGGAAAATCGTAATTAAAAAAGGTTAAAGAGAGTCCGAAGAGAGGCGGAGCAATGGGAAAAACGCCGATTGACGAAGGCGCGCGCGAGATTTTCGTCTAATTAAGTTCTAAGTAATTAAGTCGCAAAAGTCATGAAAGTAAAGAATAAGGAACAAATACGAAAGAAAATCTACGCGTCAAACAAAGATTTTACGTACATACATACACACACACGCGCGCGCGCGCGTAAATACACAAATCCATAAAAAAAGAAAGAGGGGGATTTCAAAAACTCATAATCGTTAGGACAGTCTCACTAGCTCGCGATTAGATATTTCTCTTGAAATAAGTCAGCCTCTAAGTCATTTGGGACCCGAAAGAAATTTTTTCGATTAAATACTAGTTAGTTTAATCGTAAAAATCCGTAGTTGATATTGGCGCTACAAGAAAGGAATGTTTAAGATATATGAGGGATTGCGTGATAAGGGTTAAAAAAAAACGATATGAGAGAAAGAAAATAAAATACAAAAAATAAAAAGAATGAAGACACTGATGGCCGGTATAATAAGTGGGAGAGAAAAGAAAGAGTGTCGAGAATAAGCACCATAAACGAGCCTTAATCCATAATTTACAATTTTGCGTAGTATGTAATAATGGTTATTAAAAAAGAAAAAAAAATAAAATAAAACATTAGCTGGTACGTCCAGGTGCGAAGATAAGCGAAACTTACATAGGATTGTTATTACGGAAACACTAATTAAGGAATTAAAGGTAATGTTTAATTAGCGATTTAAATGATCAATACGATCTTTCAGACTGCAGTACGTAAAATGTGTGCGCATTTAACGAATATAAAAAATATATGAATAGAAAAAAAAAAACGAATGTGCAAGCCCGATGTATTAATGAATTCCTCGATACCATAGGTTATCTGTTGCATTTAAAAACAAGTAACGTGAAAGTGATGATCGTTTCGATAAACATGACTAAATATCCGCAATTCGATGATCATCTGACGTGAAATTGTTAATCTTTTTTTTTCTTGCTGTGAAAAAAGAACAAAAGAGGAAAAATACAGACAAATATTAATCGATATACTGCTTTCACCTCCTCTATTCTTAAAGGATTTTTGAAACGTGAAAATTTGTGGATGGCCAATTTCATTTTTTATTTTTTATTATTTCTTTTTTTTTTGTAACTTGTTAATTGCTATTTTTCATCTTTGTGTTAACAATTCAGTCTATTTGATATTTTTTTTGCTTCTTAATCAATCAATTTATAGACGATACACATGCACGTACACATAGGTACACAGAATGGCATACCAAACACACATATACACATCCTTGTTTATTGCGTCTTTGAGTTCTTATTATAAAACAGGAAAGAAATGGAAAAGAAAGATCTTTGAAAATATTCTATAAAAACATTCTTAACTGCGTATACTTCTACATTCTCTCATTCGCGATTCCGTTTGATCTGGAAATATTGTCGAGACACTCGAGAATTTGATTGTATAATTGGTGATCGATAAAAGATTCTTTATATAGTTGTAGTTACTAATTTTTATGTAGTAAATATTACTATAATTAATAGTAGTAGTAATATGCTACTACTACTATTAATATATTTACGTATAAAAGTCCTGTGTTGCTGACCAGAAAAGATCGATACTTTACAAATACATCATGACAAACAAAATGAAGAAGAGAGACAGTCTATATGTATGTGTGTGTGAGAAAGAGAGAGAGAGAAAGAGTAAAATATTGAAGCTATTTTCGATTTGTTGCCGTTTCCTTAATTACTGATTAGGATCGAAGAAAAGCCGTACTTTCGCATTAATTTGTTTAATCATTTTTTATACAATATATCTCGAGAATTATTATTTATCATGTTTTAATTACACATTTTTCTGCGTTAAGAATATGTAATGTTAATAATAATAATAATAATATTAATAATAATAATAATAATAATAATAATAATAATAATAATAATAATAATTAATAATAATAAATATAATTAATATCCGCGGTTATAGCATTTTATCGAGGCTACTCGTTATAAATATAAAATGGCACATTTTTAAATTAAAAATCAAGCAAAAAATATAGTCTAAGTTTTATTAAAAAGAATAGAGAGATCTCAACTCAATCAATTTTTTAATGAGCTTATATATTTGTTTTATATAGTTATACTGATTTAAACGGATATATAAAAGATTGAAACGGACGAGTTAAAATTTTTTTTAATTATTATTATTTTTTGTCTTTTTTTTTAGGTTATTAGGACAGCGAGAGAGAGAGAGAGAGAGAGAGAGAGAGAGAGAGAGGAGAGAGGGGGGGGGAGGAAGAGAGAGGGAGAGAGAGAGGGTGGGAGGGAGAGAGAGAGGGAGAGAGAGAGAGAGTATGATTGTTGTGCGAGTGCGGTGTGCGAAAAAGAAAGAAATAAAAAAAGGGAGTACGTATATAAATAAATAAGAACTATAATTAATTATTTTACATTTTTTACTATTGTACACAAGAGACTAAGTCATGCACGTAATGAGTGCACAGAACAGTAGGAATTTTTCTCAAAGACACGACTGATTAGGTGAATGTCTCGTCATAAGTTTTTATTCTCGATATGGTTTACGATGATGGTTAACATGTGGTATGCTCGTGAATACTTTTTAAACGGTCTAGTTTAAATGAAATTCTCTCTTTGTCTGTGCCTAAGAATAGAAAATGATCAATTTATCATGAGACTGGGAAGGTGATTTAGATAATGAGGAAACGCGTTTGAACGAACATCGTGTTTGCGGAGTTTCGATAAAATAAGAACAAAAAAAAAGTGAATACATTTTACGTATCCAAATGTCTTGCCTTTCTCAAATTATATTTAACTTGTATTAATTTTATTATTATATATATATTTTTTTATTTATAAATGCATACTTTCAAAATGCAGAACACTCCGCGGCCATGTTTTCAAAGACATCATCGTTAAGGCTTAAGGAATTGGCAAAAAAACGCGATATCGTTAACATAGATCGTCTAATTATCAATATAAGAGATAATTTCTCTGTACAAATGTAGTATAAATTAATTGCGCAATTATCTTCATCCGGAAAATGGGTAAGGAAGACTACTTTTATTCTCGTTTTTAATTACTCGTAAACGCAATATATTATATAATAGAGGTGTCTCCGTTAGGGACGAATCAAATGTTGTAAGTTCAAGACACGTAAAATATGATTATAATATCAATAATTAAGGTATCGATTACTATTGAATTAATTATTTAATTAATTAAAAATTAACTCGTAATAAGGCCATCGCGTAGGGAAAGTATTAAAAATAATGACTTTTGAGGAAGATGAAAATGAAAGTAAGAGAAAAAGATGATATTTTTAATAAATCAATAAAATATGCCAACCATTGTGTTCTCTAGAAAAATCATACTTATTCCGTCATTTTTAAGTAATAGGAACAACAACAAAAAAGAAAGAGAGGAAAAATCAGAACAAAGATACGTATTTAACTCTCATTGCTTGATTGCCGTAATTCAATTCTCATTATTATAAAGAAGAAATTAATATTAACGAAACGTGATAATGGAATATAAAAAGTAAGTTAAATAATCGAGCGTATTGTGCAAAAGATAGACGTGTGTGGCGCAAATTGATTGACCATAAATCTATGTTATATTATTTCTTTCTTCTCGATTTTCTTTCAAATATTTAAACTTTTAATCGAATTGTTGCTCCAAGAAGAACATTAACAAAAGAAATAGTGGTGAAAATACACGTGAATATCGTGACAAATCGTTGTAATAAAAAATTAAAATATTTTTTTTCTGAATTTAGAGAGAAAAAGTAAATAAAAAGTATATATACATGCTCTAAAAAAATATATAAATAATAGTTTTTGCGGCATGACACCGTGAGAATTTATTTAAATTATTTGCTAAATCTTTAAAATAAGTGATATAGTATTTTTGCAATGTTTCCTTTTTTAAAAGCTACATAACTTATAGCAAATAGTTGCTATACTTGCATAGGAAAAGGGAATGGAAATATATAAAAAGAAAGGAATTTTATCGCAGTCAAACCGTCATTAATAATTAAGGGAGAAGGAAGTAGGAATCGAGTGTCAAGGCAATATTTCCAAATCAACGCATCTTCTTTTTCCCTTCCATAAATTTTAAGAATAACAACTCTTCAACCTAATTGAAAAATATATTTAATGGAACTCGGCCTTTTTCCACAGTGTGACTAATCGCTCTTATCTTTTTCTCGTGTATTTTCCTTGATGTTTCAAAATCGTGACTAAAAGATGGAAGCTCACACAAAGAGAGAAAGAGAGGGAGGGGGGATGTACTGACATAAAAAGCAGAAGGGTAAAAAGATAAACCTTATATAAAAAGATGGATAACATAATAATGGCAATTAGAAATGAAGAGTTTTCGTTTTTTAAATAAAATACGGTATTTAAAAGAACAATAAAACTATTTTTTTTAGGTATAATTATATCAAATATATATCAAAGTCCTATGACGACTGAAAGCTTCTTCTGTTATGATCTAATGGTGGGAGGATGCTAGAAGTCTAATTAGGGGAGGGTAAAATACATCGATATTTCCGATAAACTTTTACTTTTGCACATATCTT